CATAGTAATCAAATTGATCATCTCTATGGGGAGAGATGAAGAAGCTCAATATTATCAGTAAGAATGAGGCCAGGGATAACTGTGGAATAGACTATCAGTTATTTACATGCAAGTTCAATTTGAAGAAAATGAAAGCAAGTTCAGTTCAGAAGAGCCAAAAGCCCTAAATACAGATTGCCTGTGTTCAGAGGCAATCTCAAGGATTGATTTGACACATTGAACACATTGAAGATAACTGGGTTGTGGGATAGCATCAAGAACATATATGAAGAAAGCAAAAGGTCATTGAAAAGAACAAAATGGATGTCAGAAGAGACTGGAAATGGCTGAAACATTGTAGAAATGCTGAAGTGACCAGAAGAAATAACAGCATAAAAGGTGAAAAGATTTCAAAAGGCAGCATGAAAAGATGAACTTATATTACAATGACAGATGCAAAGACTTGGAGAGTTAGAAAACCAAAAGAGAACAATCATAGCATTTCTCAAGTTGAAAGAACAGAAGAAAAAAATTAAGCCTAGAGTTGCAACATTGAAGACTTTTATGAGTAAAATATTGCAAGATACAGGAAGCATCAAAAGAAGATGGGAATAATACACAAGTCCCAGCACCCCAACGAACTGGTCAACATTCAGCTGTTTAAGGAACTAGCATATGACCAAGGACCAATGATATTGAGCAAAGTGTTTATTGGTTTTTGCCAAGAAAAATTTTACAAGAGTTTTATTGGCATATAATTCACATCGTGGAGAAAGGAAGTGGTGTTAACAAACCCACGGACAAGGGAACAACAAGTGATCCAAATCGGTGGTGAGGAGGGTGTAGGGGGCCTGGTAGGGCACGACCAAGGGTAATGTAACTGAGAGGAATTACTGAAGCCCAAATGAAGGCTGAGCATGATAGTCGGACAAGGGGAAAGTCAAAGGAAGTAGAGGAAAGAGCTAGGAGGCAAAGGGCATTTATAGAGGTCTAAATAAAGACATGTACATATGTAAATATACTTATATATGAGGATGTGGAAATAGATCTATGTGAATATATATATAGGTCTAGTATTGAGTTAGTAGATGGACATCGGGCCTCCACTCAAGTACCAGTGCGTAGTTGAACTGCCCGCGCTCAAGCGCCTCCTTGTGGTCGGTCCAGGACGAGGCGGGCATGCGGCTGTAGGGCTCCAGCAGGATGCGCACGCAGCGGACCATCAGCAGCACCTGCACCAAGAGTAGGCAGAGCACGAAGGCGAACACGTGCGCTGCTCCGCGTCCAGGCCCACGCCCGCCTGGGGCCAGGGAGCAGCTACGGGGACAGTGCCCACTTCATGCTCATGGCTCACATCGCCGCGCGGCCTGGGCTCAACCCGGCGGGGACGGATGCCCGGCGGCCATGCTCTCCCAGAATCCGTGCTGGCTCGGCTCAGGCCTCTCCCAGGAGACAGCCAAACCCAGGGTTTCTAAGAGTTAGAATAGACTATGGCAGTGAGTTTTTCATACTTATTGACTGTCAGATGTGCCAAATGGTGGGAGAGAGGAAGAGTTAAGAAAGATTATAGCCCAGGAGAGTATTGTAACATGTGGAGGAATCCATGAAAAGACTGGACTGTTGGGCCGGCTCCAACAAGAACCAGCCTGACCCCCACCCTGGAAGTGTGTGCCACAGAAATTGACAATAGACCCCCTGGGAAGGGAAAGGGACCAACCCAGATGGAAGCTGAAGCAAATAAAGGGGGAGGAAGGGAATGGAGCACACCCTGGCCCACAAGCCCTGAGGACAATAGCCCCACTCAGAGCAGCCAATGCACACAGAGGACCTTATGGCTGGCCCCACTACAAGACACGACTTCCTACACTGACACATAACCCTACATGGGACTACACTGGAGACACTGGGATGTGTGACTGAGCTGACCCATGACACAGAGGAAAAACGCTAAGTGCGTGTAATAGAACAGCAAGGGGAGCAGAACAAGGAAGTCCCGAGGGAGTACCAAAAATAGAGTTGGGGCCAGGGCGTGGTGTCCCATCAGACCCGACCGGAAAACACTCCTAAAGGTCAACAAACAGACCTTGAACTATTTACAGATTTTTCTTCCCTTTTTTTTGATTTTGTATGCCACTGACTTTTTTGTTGTTGCTGTCATTGTTTTGTTTTTCTGTGTCACTTTGTTTGAGGCTGTCATGTTTTTATGTGCATATTATTATCTCTGCAGGTCTATCTAGATAAGATAGGCTGGATAAACAATGTGAAGAAGGAAATAACGGGACTGATGGTTCTGGGGGGACATGGGAGAGGGGAGGGTGGGGAAAGGAAGTGGTGTTAATAACAAACCCAGGGACAAGCAAACAAGTGATTCAAAACCAGTGGCAAGGAGTGGGGGGGAGGCCTGGTAGGACTTGATCAAGGGCAGTGTAACCAAGAGGAATTATTGAAACCCCAATGAAGGCTGAACATGATAGTGGGACAAGAGGAAAGTAAAAGGAAATAGAGGAATGAACTAGGAGGCAAAGAGCATATATAGAGGCCTAAATAAAGGCATGTACATATGTAAATATATATGATGATGGGAAAATAGATCTATGTGCATATGTTTATAGGTTTAGTATTAAGGTAGCGGATGGACATTGGGCCTCCACTCAAGTACTCCCTCAATGCAAGAATACTTTCTTCTATTAAATTGGCATTCTGTTATGTTCACCTTCCCGACACAACCGCTGAAGACAAAGCCAGTGAATAAGCAAATGTGGTGACGAAAGCTGATGGTGCCCGGCTATCAAAAGATAATAGCATCTGGGGTCTTAAAGGTTTGAAGATAAACAAGCAGCTATCTAGCTCAGAAGCAACAAAGGCCACAGGGAAGAAGCACACCTGCCTGTGTGATCACGAGGATATCAGGTATCAAGCACCAAAGAGCAAAAAATCCTATCATCGAATGAGGGGGAGTGTGGGGTGGGGACCCAAGGCCCATCTGTAGGCAACTGGACATCCCTTTGCAGAGGGATAGCGGGGAGGTCACTCAGGGTGCAGTGTAACATCGATGAAACATACAACTTTCCTCTAGTTCTTAAATGCTTCCCCCTACCCCCATCATGATACAAATTCTACCTTACAAACCTGGCTAGACCAGAGGATGTACACTGGTACATATAGGAACTGGAAACACAGGGAATCCAGGGCGAATGATCCCTTCAGGACCAGTGGTGAGAGTGGAGGGTAGAGAGAGGGTGCGTGGAAAGGGGGAACCGATTACAAGGATCTACATAAAATCTCTTCCCTGGGCGATGGACAACAGTAAACTGGGTGCAGGGAGATGTCTGGCAGTGTAAGATATGATAAAATAATAATTTATAAATTATCAAGGGTTCATGAGGGAGTGGGCACACACACAAAAAGATTGTAGGATGGAGTGCTTAGAAAACTGAGTAATTGGTGAAAGAGGAGTACTTAAAGGAGGGAAATAATTCCTGGTTCTTTTCTTGGAGGAGATAACTAATGTTTACATGCAGGGTAGAACTTCATCTCTTGCTCTGCATTTTTTCTATTTACTGTCTTGAATTTCTAAAAAGAATTGAAACTGGTATCTTCCTTTTACTTCCTTCTGTTAGAAATAGCAGAAGTGCAGCTGTTGTTGGCGTACTTATGTTAGAGTATTTAAATTTTACTTTTTAATTGTCAATGACTTAAAAGACTGAGCTTAATGCTTTAAAATATGCATTTAAAAAAAAGTGATTTTTCTTTTTTAAGTAAAAGTTAAGTAGGATCACAGAATTTTTCTTAATAAAAACCACAGAAGGAAAGAGTAGCACTGGTAGAGGAAAAGGATAAAAATGGAATAGGAGCATATGAAAAAGGAGATACTGAGCCTTATGCTAAATACTTCAAAAAATGGGAAGCAAGGAAAGAATGTGAAGACTGTATTAAAATGTGAAAAGGCTTCTAATTTAAGCCTTATACCTCAGAAGGACAGGAGCCTTGGTGGTGCTGTGGTCCATTTAAAAAAAAATCCTTTTATTGGGGCTCATACAATTCATCACAATACATACAACAATTGTGTAAAGCACACATACATTTGTTGCCCTCATCATTCTCAAAATTTGCTTTCCTCTTGAGTTCCTGGAAT